GTGAGCTTTATTTTGAAAGGTGTGAGCTTTATTTTGAAAGGTCAACAGTCCATTGTCTGTTCTGTTCAGATTTTGGTCCATTAATCTTGCAGAGCCTCGACTCTCATTAAATGATTCTACATAAACCTGTGAGTTTTAGTGGAAAGAGATTATACAAGCTTTATGGGATGACCATCATTTTGTCATCAGTTGCTAAGCAACTCTGAATTATTCTAACCTCTATTTCAAAGCTGTAGCATTTCCTTTTTCAGCACCAGCTGTCTGTAATGTGGGAGATATTATTTTAAAACCCACCTGAATAAATAATAATCGACAGCTTTTATTTTCTAAATCAAACAGGCTCCTGCATTTCCTGTCTTTGGGACAATAAAGGATTGTTTTATTCAGCCAAGAAGGAAAAGACATCAGCATTGGCCTCACAGGGTCCTGTTTTTGGGAGGGTCAAAGGTCATCTGCAGACCCCCTGAGGTCCAGCAGAGGGATGAAGATCTCAGACATCTGCAAACCTTCCCAGGAGATTCAGAGCGGGAGGCTCAGAAATAAGCTCAGACTCTACAGGCCTCAGTTAGCAGGTCAAAGGTCATCGTGACTCTGAACCGGGGATCAAATATCTATTTTTCAAATATTACTGTAAAAATGTACAGAGCTGTATATTGGTTATTTATTCTCCAGTTTTATATTGTTAAAACACTTTACTGGATTTTATTGTTTGTCTTTTAACTCTTCACTATTATATTAATCTTACATATATTTCTAAGGTCCACATTTGTGAAACCATTTTTTCTATAATCTGTTGCTGCTTTAAACACCAGAGTTTCCACATCGTGGGAGAATAAAGACATTTTCTATTCTATTCTATTCTATTCTATTCTATTCTATTCTATAGGTGAAGACCTGTTTGGTCTCCAGGGGGCGCGCTGGGTTTAAAAGTTCAATGACGTCATGGGTAAGTCACATGACCAAACAGGAAGCGAGGGAAACCTTCGTCCCGAACTTCCCGAAAGCAGCTGCTGATTGAAACCGAGTCCGAACCTGGATTTTACTTTGAAAGAATCAGCGCGAGGGAAGGTAGGAGCTCTGTAGCGCGAGCCCGCGCCCGCTCGGACACGTGGCTTCACGCGGCCAGGTGTAGGACACGCGACCGGTTTACATGAACCAGAAGATTAATGACCAGAATCTGGTCCAAAGTTAAAGGAGCCGAATTCTGAACAGATTCTAGTTCCACTCAGAGATTCGGTCCAAATGATTCAGTCACACTGATGATCCACAAAACAGTTCAGATCCCCTTAAACGGAATAAAATCTGAATGGAGTCTGGTTCAGACAGAGTTTAACACTGCCCTGTAGCTTAGCCTTTAGCTTCGGACCAGACTCCATTCATTATTGATCAGATTTAACTCAGTTCAGCTGATTCACTCTGAAAGTGAACAGTTCATCACCAAATGTCCATTCTAGTTGGAGATAGTCTATAATTAAGGGTCTCCGGACCCCATATTAATCAGTCTGATATTAGCCAGAAAGCTAATATCAGTTTACATCAGTCTGCATCTAAACAGCTCAGTTACCTTCAGGCTGATAGTTTCTGTACCTCATAGCTTAATATTCTAAGGTTCAGTTCTCATTTCTATATGTGTTGGCTATTGTTCCCTGTTTCACTTTAGTAAACCTTTGCTAACCTTCTAAAGTACAGAATAAGTAATAAAAGCATAAAGATTTAAGTGCTTATACTGTATCAATATTCTCAAAAATAAAAAAATCGATGTGAGAAATAAGCTGAATGTGGACATCCATATAATTAATTGTAATTGCTTATCCTGAAAGCAAACAGTTAAAATCTGCTTCATTTTAAAAAGAAACATTTTAACTGATTCGTTTTAAAGGGAACAGTTCAGCTGATTCGTTTTAAAGGGAACAGTTCAGCTGATTTGTTTTAAAGGGAACAGTTCAGCTCTGATTCGATTTAAAGAGAACAGTTCAGCTCTGATTCGATTTAAAGGGAACAGTTCAGCTGATTCGTTTTAAAGGGAACAGTTCAGCTGATTCATTTTAAAGGGAACAGTTCAGCTCTGATTCGATTTAAAGAGAACAGTTCAGCTCTGATTCGATTTAAAGGGAACAGTTCACCTGAATCTGACCAATCTGGATCAGAGGAAGTCCAGATCAGTCAGTTTTATCGATTATCAGAACTGAATAACTGATTTTAATATGGTGACAGGAATTAATTCACTATATTGAGCAGAATATGGATCAGGTGATGTTAACTCTAATCAGAACCGTTGAATCGTGTTTATATTTAGGATTGATCATGGATTTGAATAATTGATCGTCTGTTTGCCGTATTAACATAAACTGACGTCCGATTATCTCCCTGCAGTATGGAGGATGACGAACTTCCGTCAGAGGATGGGCTGGGTGGGCGTGGCTCTCTTCCTGCTGCTCAGCGTCATGGTGGCGTACTACATCTTTGAGGTCATCAGTCTGGAGAAGGTGCAGAGAGACGGCATCGACTCACTGGCCCTGCCTCCTGCCGTCTCCGCCCACCTGCCGCCACTTCCTCTGTGGGTGTGGGCGTCGGTGTTCCTGGTGCCGTACCTGCAGCTCTTCCTCTTCCTGTTCTCATGCACGAGGGCGGACCCCCATGCTGTGGGATACTGCGTACTTCCTGTCTGCGTCTTTCTGATGTGCAGTCGCCGTGGTGCAGCCAAACCAGCCAATCACAGAGCTGGACTGCTCATTCACATGTAGAGGCAAATGGACAAGTATGATGTCACTTCCTACAGTTTGAGGCTTCCTGCCCTCAGCCCTGACTGTAACGAGCTGACCAATCAGCGAGCAGCATTCCCCGTTTGTTTTTTCTGTTTCTAATGACATGACACACTGGTTACCATGGCAACTTTAATATGACTTCAATAAAGTATGAAAACATGATGTTTCGTAGCCGAACTTTCAGCTGGTTTTGGATCTTTTAACTTGAGGCTGCAGGTCAGAGTTCGAACCGTCCTCTTCCTCCCCATCCTCTTCATCGCTCTCTTCCTCACCACCTTCATCTTCATCGCCTGCTGCAGAGAAAACAGGTGAGTCAGACCAGAGCGCAGCCAAACATCACAGCTTCCAGGTGGGGAGGAGGAAGCTCAGCGAGGCTCCTGGGAACCTGCAGAGCCTCAGGATGGTGGCGTGATCCGCCAGGTCATGAAAAAAAATGAGATTTGATTTGATTGGCTTTAACCAACAGCGCTGAACGCCGGTTAAGGTTCAGCTGCTGGTCGGTGTGACGGACGGGAGACGAAACGGTCGTCCTTAAAAACCTCCGCAACAAAATCAAATCTGATGAGCAGGTGAAATGTGTGACGCACACTAACCTGCCAAGAGTGAATTATCAGACCTGCGGAGAGGAAATTAGTCTGAAAAAAATTATATTTCCCATAATCTATTAACTAATTAACCAATTAAAACTTGATTTAAAAAGCAAACTGCTTCTGAAGAGTGAGAACTTAGCCGTGAACGATGAAGACGAGGCGCTCCATGAGATGAAGAACGAAGTCTCCTGGAATGGATGGATTGATCACTGAGTTACGGACGTTTTTCTGGGATGATGTTTACAGCTAAATCAATTTAAGCCTGGTAAAAATAATGCATAAGGGTACCTAATAAAAAAGGACTTAAAAAAAAGTATTTCACGAGGCCTATTTTTTATTTTTTTTTTTACAGTTTAAACATATTTTATATTCTCAGTACTTAACCTATGATATATGCTCCATTTGATAGCGAAGATATCTGTTAACATTTTAAATGATGCTATAAAGCTTTAACTTTTTAATTTACTGAAACCATGATGTAAATAGGATGCTGATGAAGGTTCTCAGTCATCCAGGTCAAAGTCATTCCGTAAAAATTCAAAAAATATGGATATTTTTTGAATTTTTACGGAATGTAAATAGGATGGATATATAACCTGTAATGACCCATCACAGCCGCCTGGGGGAGCTGTGGAGGTAGACAAACATTTTCAACGGTAAATATTAGAAAGGTTTTAGCAATATTATTAATATATAATTATTTTCTAAGCAGTGTCTATGCTAATACACGTTTTAAAACAATAAATAAACAGACAAACACAGTAGGACTGATGGGTTCAAACGTTAGCAGAGCCGCCATATTGCCCGGGTAAAACCGTGTCCAAAACAGGAAGAACACCGCGCAGACGGAGCGCGCCTATTGGTTCACAGTAGCTGTTTGTTTTTGTCACGTGACTCAGTTTTTGTCACAGGCTATTGACGCGCACCTTGCAGCTCAAAGGAAAAAAACTGCAGCTCACCTCGCGCGCTGCCCGCGCGCTCCCTCTCACTGTCAACCAGCTCGCTGAGGAGCTGTGACGCCTTCAGGTTGAGCTCGGAGATCGCGACCCTCAGAGCGCCCAGGCCGCCGTCTCCGGGTCGGATGCTAAAGCTCTGACTCTGTCCGTCCCGATATCGGAGCTCCGCGCGCACACACGCTGCCTCCATGTTGGTGACCTCCGACGTCACCGGAAGCCGCCAAATACGAGCTGCTGGACGTCAACCGGAAGTGGTGGTCCGTTAGCAAGTTTCCGCGCTTCGGGTATCAAAGAACAGCTCCGGTCAGCCTTCCTGACCTGCTGCCCGTCTCTGGGAATCAGTCGCCGGGAAGAGTTTGGTTGCGGTTCGGCTCGGCTCGGTCCGGTTCGGTAAGTTCTGTTCTGACTCGCGGGTTCAGCGTTAGCATTAGCGAGCTGCAGCTGATCAGAGATAAGAAGGCAGCTTCATAACATGTAACTCTGGTTAAACGACCCGATCAACAGCAATACCCTGGGTACCATGGCAACGTCACCCAGCAGCTCTGTTTTAGGAAACTCTGATCATGTTACCATGGCAGCCCAGTCAGATCAGATGTAGTTTGGTCCTTCCTGACTTAATGGCAAATTTTCCTAAACTATAAAACATTTAATTCATAATCCAGGTGAAAAAAAAGCAGATCAGTTTGTCTGAAGTTCTGACTGATTCTCTGTGAAAATTTCTGCTGCTTTCTGGTGATTCTCAGTCATCCAGGTCAGAGTTATTCCATAAAAGTTAAAAAAAAAACCAACGTTCCCCTCCAACCAAAAAAAATTTTCACATCCAAATGTCAGAAATAGCGTTTAGTTCCAGGTTTTATCCAGCAGCCCAACAAAGCCTGGTTTTAGTTTAGAAAACATGCAAATAGAAACGGATGAACGGGTCCCCCCCTTTGGAATGGGGGTCGTTAGAGGGAATTGTTGGCCTGCAATGCCCCATACCTGACTATGCCTGTTTCACTAGAACAGCAGACCGAGAACGGACAAAGTCCCCAGGTGTTGTTCTGGCCCCTCCCTCTTTACCCAGCATGCATCAGAGCAGACCTGTCCGTTCTCCAGACTGACAGCTGTCCCAGCATGCACTGCGGTAGCAGCAGCTTCCAGGTTAGCGCTCGCTAAGCTTAGAGCTCCGAGGCTAACCACAGCCAGGGCTAACGTTAGCCCGTCTGCAGCAGCACATTAATAACAGGAGGTGAAATGCAGCTCCAGACGAGCTTTGAATGTGGTGATGTCATCAGTACGCTTCTGTTTCAGTTGACCCAGATTTATCCTGCGTGCTCCCGTTCTCCCAGAGTCCAGACTTTCCTGGGTTCTAGTCAAGAAGGAGGACACGAGTCTGTGCTCACGCTCTAGTGAGTTGAGAAACGGCTCATGTCTCTGAAAGGGAGGTTATTAAAGGGAATTGTTAGCCTGGCTGACTCTATCGCTGCTTTGTAGGGTTTTGAAAGCTGGAATCTGAGTGAAATCAGTGTTGAACATTCCTCCACCTCCCCGCCTCGGTTCGGTTCCTCTCCTGCAGCCTTCTCCTCCTTTGGAGTCTGGTTTTCCATTAATCTGTGAGTTTCTCGTTTAGGAAGAAGCTAAAGATGTGTGAGGAGCAGACGGTGTCTCTGGTGGATGTTCTGGAAGAGGACGAGGAGCTGGAGGAGGAGGCCTCAGCCGTGTTGGCAGGAAGTGATTCCGATCACTGCTCGTACCCTCAGGTATTCCTCAGCCCCACCTGGAATCATCTGGTCTGACCAGAAACCAATCCGTCGCTCTGCGTTTCAAAGGGAATCGTTCTGTTTCAGGGCTACGTGAAGCGGCAGGCGCTGTACGCCTGCAGCACATGCACGCCGCCGGGAGGTGAGGCTGCAGGCGTCTGCCTGGCCTGTTCCTACAAGTGTCACGAGGGTCACGACCTCTTTGAACTTTACACCAAGAGGTACCGTTAGCTGATTGGTCCGTCGGCCGTCCACATCGGCTCCTGGGAACCAATCAGAGTATCGGAATCTGGGAGTTTTCTTTGAAACTTTTCTTCTGTGGTTTTTGCAGAAACTTCCGCTGTGACTGTGGAAACAGGAAGTTCTCTGGACTGCAGTGTAAACTACATCCTGTGAGTTTAGACCAGAACATCTGAGGGCTCACCTGTTCTGCCGCCTCACTGCGGCTGACCCTGTGTGTGTGTGTGTGTGTGTCTATCAGGACAAGGACGACGTCAACAACCTGAACAAATACAGCCATAACTTCTTCGGGGTTTATTGCACCTGCCTCCGGCCGTACCCGGACCCTGACGACGAGGTTAGCTGAAGCTCACCTGTTCCCCAGGTGAAACCTGATGCCGTGTCTCACTGTGGTTGGCTGCTTGTGTTCAGGTGGAGGACGAGATGATCCAGTGTGTAGTCTGTGAAGACTGGCTGCACGGCAGGGTGAGTCTTAGAACGGACCCGTGGAGCCGAGTCTGCTCACCTGGATGCTCACCTGTCTGTTACCTGTTCTTCACAGCATTTGGGTTGCGTGGTTCCGGACTGCGTTGAGACGCAGGAGATGATCTGTGAGTCATGCATGAACAAACACCAGTTTCTCTGGACCTACGCTGCTCACCTGGGAGGTAAGAGGTTCTGGCTCCTGATCCACTGGCCTCACAGCTGACTGTCGGACATCATGTCTCACTCGCGTTGATGTCCTCTTTAGTGCACCATCCAGCACAGCAGACCAAGGAGGAGAAGGGAGAACCATCGGAACCCAGCCGCTCTACTAAAGAGGAGAAGGTGAGACTTTTGGTCACTGCAGCGTCTCAGCAGCACCGATCCTCATTGGTAACCAGTCAGATGTTTGGCAGGGCAAGGACATCGTGGAGCCCAGCTGTAAACGCAGCCGTGAAGAGGCGGAGCCTAGCTGCAGACTGAAGGAGCTGCAGGAGGCGGGTCAGAAGAGGGACCAATCAGGAGCCGTGTTCTGGCCGTCAGGGTGGCGCTCCAAGCTCTGCTCCTGCAGCAGCTGCCAGGTCTCTATCCTCTGCTCTCCGAAGGTCAGACTGACCCTGTGACACGGCGCTAACCCACATGTGGTGGACTTTCAGGTGCGGCTGTCTGAAGCCGGAGTGTCCTTCCTGCTGGACGAATCTGACACCGTCCTGGCTTACGAGAACAAAGGGAAGAACAACGAACAAACACAGCAGGGACATGACCCTCTGATGTCAGCGCTGGACAACCTGAATAGAGTTCAGCAGCTGGAGATCATTCACGGTACACAGCTACACTCAGAACTAGCGCTACACTCAGAACTAGCGCTACACTCAGAACTACAGCTACACTCAGAACTACAGCTACACGCTCAGAACTACAGCTACACACTCTGAACTACAGCTACACACTCTGAACTACAGCTACACTCAGAACTACAGCTACACTCAGAACTAGCGCTACACTCAGAACTACAGCTACACGCTCAGAACTACAGCTACACACTCTGAACTACAGCTACACTCAGAACTACAGCTACACGCTCAGAACTACAGCTACACGCTCAGAACTACAGCTACACGCTCAGAACTACAGCTACACACTCTGAACTACAGCTACACACTCTGAACTACAGCTACACACTCTGAACTACAGCTACACACTCTGAACTACAGCTACACACT